CTCAACCCTAACCCCCCACCCCCCCTCCTCACCCTTTGACAGAGAGCGCTCTCCGTGGTGCTGAAAGCAGAAAAACACATTCAGGCAGGCTCCAGTTAGAGTGCAGCTGCAAAGGGAAAGCATGCGAGACACATGAGGCAAAGGCTAAATAAACGACTAACTGGAGAAAGAGATTAGGGAAAGAGTGCTTATCAAGATGAGTTGAAAAGAACACAGCAGGAGAATTAGGAGTGTGGCAAAAGGAAGGAGAGAGGGAGTGAGAATGACGCTCTAGCAGTAGGTGGCTACAGTAGGCAGTGGGCGTGTTCTTGTTGTTGTGATCTATAGTTGGGAAGCCCGGTGTCATCTGCTTAAGCACAGAGCGACTCTACAGCCCTGTGTGGACGAGCAGGGCTGAGGGAGCCGGCAGGGGATGCCATCACTGGAAACTCACTCTGCTTTACCGCGGTCTAAACCTTCAGGGCACCGTGGATAAGGACTCCTTTCACCTGCATGACACTCTGAGACATTTTATGCATTTGGACATATTCAAGCAGAAGGAGAGACATTCTGGGAAAGAAGAAAGACTGTGAGCGCCTGGCGTGCATCTGCAAGAGGAGTTTGATGTGTGAGAGTGTTTGAGAGTGCCAGTGTGCATTTGTGTCATGCTTTTGGTCGCGGGTGCGGTCTGTTGCTACGCTGCATCTTCCTTCTGTCTCTAGCATGTGCAGATGTGTGGAGAAGTGAAGCTGGCACCGGGTTAGGAGTTTGGCTCCATCTGGACTGGAGGGGTCACGTCTCCCTTTCTGCCCAGGGAAGGGAGTATTGGGCTGGGCACCCAATGTCCCCACTCCCCTCTAGCACCAGCCTGATCCTGGATCATATGGACTCCTTCTAGCAAGTCAAACAGTTGGACTATACGATGGATGGAAGTCTATGTGGATTTAAGTGGAATAGTGCATTGGTTATGCAGCATAGTTCAGAGTTCACTAGCATGCACTGGACTCATCAGGAGAAGACAGAAGACAAGTTAGTCCACAAACTAGCAGGAACACAGCTCTATTGTAAGTATGCATCATTACACTTGATTTCACACAACATTGACCCATAAACCCACAAAGATATATGCAAATGCTAATACTACACCTAATGCATCATCATAATGCATGCAAATGTTATTGTTTCTTTCCTCACATCCACATACAAATCGCAAAAAAACAAGGAGTGACGCACCTGTGTGTGTGTCTACGGTTTACAGGTGAACCTGGTCCACTGTGCTGCACTGATGTGTGTGTCTGTGTGTGCATGAGCGCCCACGCTCGCTGTCACCAGATTACTTGCCTTGTAATCTTTTTGACATTGTGTCACTAGAATATCCATGCTGCCCTTCTCCTGTGACATGGTTGCCTGGAAACAGAAACGGTGTGCCACTTTCATTTACTTAAAGCAAAGTGCACCTCTGTGTTTCAACTGTTGCAGCCCATTTCAGCTGGGGCTAATGGAGAGACAAGAGAGGAGATAGAAGAAGGGGAAAAAAAAGAAAATGCATAATGCCAAGGAGAAATGGATAGGAAAATGAAGCTCTGTTGAAAAAACCGGTTGCTGAATTGACAGGTTTTATAGAGATTAGCAAACAAGAATAGAATTTTACATCGATGAGTTACGGGAGGACAATCCAATGTGAAAGGCTTGGTTGGTAAAAACAGTGTTATAAACAAGCTGATTCCAGTGCAGAGTGCGGCGGCAGGCTTATAGGGATTAGGCAGGCCGGCTTAATTCAGCTCAAACACTGTTTGAACTGTGCCTTCCTACTGCTGCACCCTGAACACATCTAACTGGTGCACCTTGTTTTTCTTCAGAAAGCAAGATGTATTTCCTTTGTACAGCTCCAGATGTGTGGCAGTGACTGTGCACCAGTGATAAGACCTGATATTCATGGTGGAAAAAACATCTTCACCACTTGACAGCATGATGGTGTGCCCTAGTTTGAACTCTGCTCCAAGATGTTGATTCCATCTGTTCTGTTGGCTCTTATCAGCCCTCTACTCGTGCCTGTAAAAAAAGTCGGCTAAGGTGTGTGGAGAATAGGTGGAAGGGAGTGGAAGATAAACCCACTGACCTACAGTAGGCACCCTGCTGGACTTGATAGACAGACACAAGTTAGAGGGATGCTGAGGATGCTATGGCCAGTCTCTTAGTTGGTCCTTCATTCTCCATCTGGCAAGCACCCTTACCCCCCCCCCCNNNNCCCCCTTGTTGCCCTTGGCTCCCTACACACAAACATACACACAGTTATCATAAGCCCCCTCCCCCTCCCCACGCACACTCAGCGCCTCTCACACGTAAACAAGCATGAGTCTTAGGCTGATCTGAAAACATTGACCTACATAAAAGCATGCACTGTCTTCCAACACTAGCCTCTCCAAAATCACATCTGGCCGTTGCACATAGCATATACTATGTTCATGCAGCTGCACAGGTTTTTAGGCAGATGTACACACATGAGCACTGAATCATATCATATGCTGCATCATGTTGTGTTTGGAAATGTATTCACAATTAGGTTGCTATCATACTATGATTCACTGAAGTAGTGAATCATATGATAGCACCACACTGGATGTATCATTGAAGAGGCTTTTCCTCACAGAAGCATCCACGCTCTCTCTTATGACAACGATGCTGTCAGTAATAGTCTTTTTACGGAATCAAAAGGCAGCAAGGCACAACTCACGAGGAGACTAATTTTAGATCTTAAACGCTGGATCGAGGATGATATCCGCATATGCAAAACCACGGATCTAGTAAGAGTGGTTTGTTAAATCTGTTGGTCCCTGGAGTGCTGTATTTTCACATCTGAGCCCAGCACATATTGCATCTGCAGAAGATGAAAGCCCATTTTCAGTTTTCATTCAGACAGCCAATCATTTCAGCCAGGAAATGTGCGAACACAACTGAGAAAAATGAACAGCCGCTACTGATCCACAGCCAATAAGGAGACTGAAACCCAAGGTTATGAGTAAATCTGGCTAGAGAGTGTGTGCATATGTGCATGTGCATGTAGGTTGTTGTGTGTGGGTGTTTGTTTGTATGTAAACAACCCTGAAGGGAAAACGTTTACTCTGGACAGATATTGGAAGTCTATGAATCCTGATTAGGCGATGAACTCCACAAGCATCATCACACAAACTTAATTGTTTATATATTTGTTGCTGGTGCTTGCTCCATAGATGTTCATCTCACAAAGACTGACTTGAAAAATGAAGATGTAACAATATACTTATTTTGCATTTTGCCCATATGATGCACGAGTGGTTCTCATTTGTAGTATTTTGTGTTTCTATCTCTTTAAGGCAAGCAATTCACACTAACATTTTCTTTATGTCTCTATCAGAATGCTGTGGAAACACTTGAAGAATGATGAGCTCCAAAGAGGAGGAAACTCTCCGTTTTTTCCAGTATGTTGAGGAGAATGGGCTGAGAGCCTACAACGGCCTAGTGGCTCAGAACTTGGACCACACCAGGAATGAGAAAAATCGGACATTCCTGCAGGAGAAAAACGACAAGAAGAGAAAACAGGAGGAAGCCATAAGGAGGTAGGAAGAACACAAACAAATAAAGTGCTTCACAAAACGAAAAACAGACTCTTTGGCAAAATCTCATAAAGAATACATACATTACATGCAATCTTGCTACAGCTCACTAAAGGGATTCTGCTCTCTAAAGGCGAGCATGTCAACGGGTTCACTTCAGGAAGATGTTGTAAGGAATTAGGACAAGCGGCCTGAGGGTCCCTTTGGCAATGGCAGGTTGCTATTTCTTGGGGGTTGCCAATGTGGACTGGTGCACCCCGTGATCTGTAGAGGATAATTAATTTTCCCTTTTAGACTTATTTAGGACTTGTCCTTGGATGGAGGTCATCGCTGCTCCATTTTTAGTATGGAGAGCGTTTACAATTAACTCGACTGGGCTGCGACAGACAGTGGATTCGCTTTCAGAGACATCCAGTTATGCTGTTGCCGTATAACTTAAGTATAACAACCCTCATGTTTGGAGGTGAACATTTTCCAAAACTGTAGAAAGTTTTATCTTGTTGTTGTAACACCCCTTAGAGTTTGAGAAAATGAGTCACTTGTGCCGCTGCACCCTGTTTCACATGGTGTGATGAGTAAGCAGTTTCCGCTGTGCCACTGTGCGCAGCAACAACACTTTAGGGCATCCCGAAACATGTGCGAATAAGAAGCACGCACTCTCAACGTGACTAGCATGTGGATGTGACGTGCTTGTGTTGTGGGGTAGAATAGGGCACACAGAGTCACAGAGTCATGGGGATGAAAACGGGACATTAGAGAGGGGTTTGGAATGTGTTTGTGCAAAGACATGGATATCTGTGTTGCTTTGTTCTCCCCCAAAAGTCTGAGAGCATAAACACCGCAAACACTCCGTTCTTATTGGTCAAAAATGAGCTTTAAGAGCAGCAACATAATTTATACAGCTGTGATTTATTTTTCTTAGAATACTATTACATTATATAAGTTTCAGGACTGATAAGTGTATCTTTTGCAGATCAAAAAATAATATACATTTTAATCTGTGTTTTCCTAGTAAGGCGTAGACACAACTTTTTTTATTTTTAAATATGAAATCAATCAAGAGCACCCAAGTAGTAGAAAAAACGTTTCTCCCCTTTGAGATAAAACAAAAGGGCGATAGAAAATGCTTTCCAATCTTGTCATAGTATGTAAATATCAGCTGAGATAGATCAGATACAGTACAAAGTGTTTTAGCAGGCGGGAGATTTAGTTTTGCATTGAATATTTACATTGATGTGGCCAGATGGTTCTCTTCAACTGATTTATTCAGGGACACTTGTCACATTTATGTCAAGGTGTCCTGCGATTCAATATGAACTGTTTATCCGCTGCCCTTGTGTGCATTGTACAGTATGCATACTGTATATCCCTAGCAAAACTGACCTAAAGTTGAACTGCAAACCAACAGAACGTGTTCTAAAAAGCAATCGAAAACATATCCTGCACTGACTTTTATCACTTAAAAACAGAATGTCCCTGCTTCCATTGTCTTCAGCCGTCTGATGCAGGCCTGTAAAGTAGTTTACTGAATGGGACAGGCTGGGCGACGCCTGAGGAAAATGGCATCTACTGTCCTGCTATCCTTCCACTGTCTCTCAGCTGTTGCCAAAGCTAAAATATTAATACACAGTCACTGGAGGAATAGTCTAAAAAATAACTGGATTTTTCATGAGGCCTATAAGTAGGTCAATGAGACGACCCATTTGTACAGTAACTGAGTGAGAGGGAGTGTGAGGATTCATAGAATAGAATCGGAGGGATGAAACCCCTCGTTAATGGTCACACATGCAGAGCACACAGCACACACAGTGAAATGTGGCCTCTGCATTTAACCCATCCTAGTACCAGGAGTCTAGTACTAGGAGCAGTGGGCAGTGATTGTACAGCGCCGGGGGAGCAATGGGAGTGGGGTTGTCCGGTGCCTTGCTCAAGGGCACCACAGCAGGGCCCAGGAGGTGAACTGGGACCTCTCCAAGTAGCAGTCCACACTCCATATTTAGGTCTGTTCGGGGACTTGAACCGGCGACCCTACGGCTCACATTCCAAGCCCCTACTGACTGTGCCACTGCCGGACAATGTGTGTGCATGCTTGCAAGTGTGTGTGTGCAAGCACGTGCTTGTGTACATGTGCATGCATGGGCATGAGCATGAGCATAGGGAAATGAGCAAGAAAGGTAGGAAAGAGCAAATGGCCTCTGTGATTGTTTGAGGGCAAAAGAGCTTGTTAAAGCAAATGTGTTTAAGAGGGGGGGAATAGAAAAAAACCCTGTTAGAAACAGATTAAGTGTGAGCTCAGTTTCAGGAGATGTGTTCTGCCTGGTGACAGCTGGAACAGCCATAGGCCAATCAGATCAGCACGTTAGGTTTGAGTGAGGCGGGCCTTCCTGCCTGCTGCTATCTCCTGCCTGCTGCTATTTCTTTTATAGTATTTCATATGAAGAACTCATTCACAAACCCACACACACACACACACACACACACACACACACACACACACACACACAGACACACACACATACATATACACACACACACACACACACACACACAAACAAATTCCAAAAAATTTGATTAAACGTGCCAGTGCATCCACAACACAAACACAACCTCCATACAACCTCCACTTAAATTTACTTATATTTACATATGCTTGCAAATTTCAAACGACTGCTTTTGTTCTCTTTGCCCTTTGTGAAGACATGCACGCATAAACAGATAGACATTCTGTCAATCTTTTTCCCTTTCAAAATCTCCTTTACTGTTTATTTGTCTGTGTTGTTGTTTTTCCTGTCGCATGGTGTGACAGGGAGAGAGCCAGAGCTGCCCGACGACAAGTCAGCTCCAACTGGTCCAAATGCACCTGTGGTCTGTCCTCTAGCCAATCACTGGGCAAATATACTATAAATAATCCANACACACACACACACACACACACACACACACACACACACACACACACACACACACACACACACATACACACACACACACACACAGACACACACACATACATATACACACACATACATATACACACACACACACACACATACATATACACACACACACACACACAGACACACACACATACATATACACACACACAGACACACACACAAACAAATTCCAAAAAATTTGATTAAACGTGCCAGTGCATCCACAACACAAACACAACCTCCATACAACCTCCACTTAAATTTACTTATATTTACATATGCTTGCAAATTTCAAACGACTGCTTTTGTTCTCTTTGCCCTTTGTGAAGACATGCACGCATAAACAGATAGACATTCTGTCAATCTTTTTCCCTTTCAAAATCTCCTTTACTGTTTATTTGTCTGTGTTGTTGTTTTTCCTGTCGCATGGTGTGACAGGGAGAGAGCCAGAGCTGCCCGACGACAAGTCAGCTCCAACTGGTCCAAATGCACCTGTGGTCTGTCCTCTAGCCAATCACTGGGCAAATATACTATAAATAATCCAGTCACCACTACTCCAGTCACACCCACCCACCAACACACACAGCCCATGTATATGAGTGTGCACGCAGACAGTCACAGCAAATGCACAGTCAAAACATACTGTATGAAAAGGTTGACGCTTGTGGCTGAATGGCTTGAAAGATTTAAGACTATTTTCAGGGACATTTTTTCAACTTATTTGCTATTTGGCAAAAAACATTTACAATATGTTATAGAGACTGATCCAACAATTAAAAATGACAAAACAAATATGTTTTGCGATGACATTCCCTTGTGTCATCATTTTTTTTAACACAATTTTCTTCCTGTTCTGCTTCCATATCTTCAAGAATCATTAGCTGTTGGTCTTTTGTTTGTGACACTACATTTCCCCTATTCCTAGTAATACCATTAATGCTAGCTAATAGTACATTTTTATAAAATATGTATCACACTTTATCCAGAGGGATTGCAGAGAAAGGAATACGCTCTCTTATATCCCAGTATTTGTCGAAGCATACCATTTCCCAAACCAAAATGATGTGCTGACATATCCTTAGTTATGTTGAGCTGGTTCCAAATTATTAATTCAAGCGTATACTTTGAATGAATCCATATTTATATTGAGTTCCTTCTTTAATTTCTTTGTTTCCCATTGTATTTTGAATTCAATATTAATTAACTTCTTCTCTGTCTTTCACTAATGCTTCAAAATCGGACTTGCCCCAACAATAAACCAGTCTCAGCTGTTGTGTACTCGTTCAAATCTAAAGACATATTCACCCTAAAGTACATATTTGGGTAGCTGGAGGTTTTATATCTAACTATAGGAATTGTGTTCCCTCTGAAATGTTAGCCCCAGCATGGTTGCTATATCTTGTATACAGAATACGCCTTAATAACCACTAAACATGTGATTTGGTGTTTACTTTCTACACATGTGTTTTATTTAATATACCACAGGCAATGCAGCTCTCCTGTTTGCAGCAGTCACATTCCTCTCGTATCCCCACTGTCATCCTTAAACAATGACAGTGATGGGGTTATGATGTGCACGTGTGCTTTATTATTAATGTGCGGCAGTGGCTGGTTTTGTGTCTGGTTTCTATGGGTACCATGTTGCTAGGCAAAGTTAAGCCCCTGAGCAATGAACCCACCCCACCAAGCACCTTCTGCTCAGCAGCTGGCCAGGAGGGAGTCAGAGTCAGCAAAGTCACACACTGAGGGGTCATAAACAACCGCATGCATTCACTCCCACATGCATGAAAAAACTCACACAAGTCAGGGATTTGTGAAGCCGCACATTCAAATGCATCTTATTTCCTGTCAACTTTTAAATCTCCGACAAAAAGCCTAAATCGTGACTCCGGTATGATAATAAATAAATAAAGTGCAGAGATCAAGTGTGTATAGATTGCATACTTGTCATGTCTATTGTACAAATAATTTCCCCTGAAAAAGTCAGATCTTCAGCTTGTTTATTCTGCAATACACACACGTTCGTACACACAGCCCTTCTCTCCCCTATTACCACACAACACTCAGACATCATTAACGCTCCATTCAGGCCAATCATCCATTTATAGAGATTGATTGTGTACAGACGG